CCCATTGCCATTGAGTCAATTCTGACTCACAGCAATCTTATAGGACAGAATAGAACAGTCCCATAGGTTTCCAGAGAGTTTCTGGTGGATTCAAACTGCCAACTTTTGGTTACCAGCCTTAGGCTCTTGTCCACTGAGTCACCAGGCTAGTGCCTTTCAACCTGAGGGGCTCATCTTCCGGCACTGTATCAGACAATGTTCTGTTGCTATTCATAAGATTTTCGTTGGCCAATTTTTTCAGAAGAAGTCTGCCAGGTCCTTCTTCCTGTTACTGAACATTATCTGGCACGCTCAGACATGCCAATTACCTGGACACCAGTCTTGGAGAAAGAGAAAGTAACTTTATTGCATGCGTAGAGCAAGGAACTGGGAGGAAGTTCCTCAGATCCAACTCACCAAGCTACGGGGAAGCAGGGCTTATGTGTGATTTGGGCAGCAAGATGGCAGCCGTGTAGGCATACTGGGGAGGAAAAATTCTAGAAAGCGGCGAGGAAACAGTAAGCGATATGGTTCTTGTGGGACCTCTGGCTTTGGAATAGGGTTTGGGTGATGATTTTCCTTCCGACTCATTCCACCTGTTGCAGCATCTTCTGTTGAAGTCAATTGGCGGTCAGAGCTGGCCCTTCTGCACATGTAGGGTGAGCCAAATCTGGCTTGGGCTAGTTTAAGGACTAATGGAAATTTACTGGCCTTCGTAGGGTCAGGTTACATTCCTAGTCAGTCTTAGTCTGGAAGCTTCACTGAAACCCGTCCACCAAGGGTGACCCTGTTGATATTTGACGTACTGATGGCAAGTCCTCCCGTGTCATAGCAGCACGCAAGCCACCCCAGTATGACAAGCTGACACACATGTGGTGGAGTAAGATGCTACTTCATAAAAATGAAAATTTCTTCAGGGAAGAACTGAATTTCTCTTATATTGCTGGGCTGGGAAAATTCAGTGTTACCAAAACTACTACAGAGTATCGATACTTCTAATTACCTCAGTAAAACTATCAACTCTACCCTCGCCCCCCTCCACACATCCTACAGACTTAAAAAAAAATCAAAAGCAGGCACCCTCTCCAGTGGAAAATAGCTTCATCTGGACTTCTATAGTAATTTTATGCACAATGTATGATAAATAATAATAATTAAAAAAAAAGACTTGCAAGAAGGCAAAAAAAAAAAATACTATCCACAATTAAGAAAAAAAAAAAAAACAGATTCAGCTGTATAGATGATCCATATATAGGGTGTCTTAGTTATCTAGTGCTGCTATAACAGAAATACCACAAGTGGATGGTTTTAACAAAGAGAAGTTTATTTCCTTACAGTAAAGTAGTCTAGAAGTCCAAATTCAGGGCGTCAGCTCCAGGGGAAGTCTTTCTCTCTCTTGGCCTTCTCATCAGTGTTCCCCGGACTAGGAGCTTCTCGGCGTAGGGACCCTGGTCCAAAGGACCCTCTCTGCTCCCAGCACTGCTTTCTTGGTGGTATGAGGTCCCCAACTCTCTGCTTGCTTCCCTTTCCTTTTATCTCTTGAGAGAGAAAAGGTGGTGAAGGCCACACCCCAGGGAAACTCCCTTTACATTGGATCTGGGATGTGACCTGGGTAAAGGTGGTGTTACAGTCCCACCTTAATCCTCTTTAACATAAAATTGCAATCACAAAATGGAGGCCAACCACACAATTCTGGGAATCATGGCCTAGCCAAATTGATACACACATTTTTTGGTGGACATAATTCAAACCATGACATACAGTTAGCAGACAAAGACATCAAAATAATTATGATAAATGTATTAAACAATTATATAGAAAAACATGGGTCAAATAAATCTAAGCATTAAGAATTTCTCCAGAAAATCTGAATCTCCAAAAACAACAAAATGGACAAATTCAAATCTGAAAAGCTTTAATGTCTGAAATTAAGAACTCAATGGATAGGTTATTTGGCAGATTTAAACCAAAAAATTAGGATTGGTGAACTCAAAGCAAGTCAATGTGAAAATAAATGGATTGAAGTAGAGAGACAAAATAAAACAGATGAATGTAGGAATGACATGTGTTGCATGTTCAACAGGATAAATAAACGTGGAATTGGAGTTACAGTATGAGAGTAGAGAAAGAATGGAATCCCTCAATAAAAATGGCAAACTCGAGGCAGGAAAAAACAGAAGAAAAAACATTGCAAGGTGTACAGTAGTCAAAATTCTGAAAAACAAACAAGAAGAGAAAATCTTAATAGTAGCCAGAGGAAAAGAAACGTAATTTGTTTGATAAAAGGGCAATAATAAGAGTGGAGCTGATTTCTTAACAGAAACAATGAAGGTCAGAATTCAGTGGTTTTTCACTTTGAAAATAATGAACAAAAATAACTGCCAAAATTGTATTTTACCTTCAGTATAAATATCCTTTGTAGATTAAAGTAAACTAAAAGTATTTTACAAAATCAAAATTTTAGAATTTATTATCAGCTGGTCTGATAACAATGGAGGTGACAAGAAATGAGCACAGTCTGCAGATGTGTATGTATAATGTTATATCAAAATCGACAGGTATGTATGTATTAAAGCCAACTGGATTACCTGATGTATTTGATGTGAGATGAGAAAGAAAGGCTTCATGAATGACTCCCAGTTTGTTTGTTTATTAATTTAAAATTTTTATTTTGACATAATTTGACTTACAAAAATTCTAAGAATGTAGTACAAAAGCTTACTATGTACACTTCATCCAGATTACTTTACTTATACATTAAATTTGACAAAATTTGCTATCCTCCCTCTCTCCATATACATGTATATTTATATCAAGATACCCAGGTTTGTTTCTCTTTTTGTTTTTTATTCTGAGCAACTAGAGAAGGGTTTCCATCACTTGACAGACTAATATAAGAAAAACTATGTGAGAGAAATGTTGGTAAGAAAAGATTAGGAGTCCAGTTCTGAATACATTGAATTTGATGAACTTATTCAACATCCAATGGTGTTTGGCACATAGGCAATTGGGTTTAAGACTTGAGTTCAGAAGAGAGATCTAAGTTGGAAATAGAAGTTTTGTTAGTGTATAGGAGATATTGAAAAACAGTGAGACCGAATCAGCTTTCCAAAGGAATTCAAGGATTAGAAGTATGTTTTCAAGTTTCTCAAAAGATGGCTTGCTAATTATATGTTATTATTGCTCTATAAGTGAATTATTGTTCTGCATTTTAACTTTTCAAAAATTAAATAATTATTACTGTTTTATAAAGTTAATACCTTTTTACAT